AGGAGGCACTGCCACCTTTACTGGAGTTAATTTATATTTCCTTTATTATTATTTGTATATATATGATTTCTTGTTTTACACTAAATTGTATTGAAAATCTTAACTTCTTTTCTTTTATAATTTTTACACTGGAGTTATGATTTATGAGTTACGAATGTGAATCTTCTACCTTGTTATATTTGAAATATTTGTCAACTATGAAAGATTTTATTTACCCAAAAAGAAGAAAAGAAATATTTTATTGTTACATTTGTTGTATATTAATAATGGGGTAGAGGGTGTCACACATCCCAATAATCATCCCCTCAAACAAAGGACCACAGTTTAACCCTCCCTTGCAGCGAAAACTACGAGTAGGACAACGGTTTAACCCTCCCTTGCAGCGAAAACTACGAGTATTATCCGATGGTGGCCCCACAGAGCTCACTCACGCTTAGAGTGGTTGCACCGCCGCTCCATCATGACCTCCCTCATGACGGCGGGACACGCCTCCTAACCCTCCATGTTACTAGGAAGCCTCTCTTCCACATGGACCCGCCGTTAGGAAGACTTTCGACACAAGGGATCCCAAACTTGGATCCACCTGCCAGCCATCATACTCGTCGAGCCAGTCACTTGATCAAACCATCGGCTCTAATACTACTTGTTGTGCACCAGGGGGTTACCACACATATACACATGTCTCCTCATTGGTGAGATATTGTCCGCTTTGGACTTAGCCCTCACGATTTTACTTTTGGACATCACTCAAAAGGCCTCTCGACCAATGGGGACAAGTGCGTATATATAAACCCATGTCCATCCTCTTGTTTGAACGATGTGAGACTTTTCTTGCATCCCAACAAGATATACATGTATAAATGTTGTAGGTGAATATATATATATATATATATATATATATAGGATGAACTCACTTTGATAAGACTTTATAATACCTTATGGAAGCATTATAAATGCTTCTCGTACTAATCATTGTAGAGTAGTATTTTGATTTGAATTCATTATGATTCCTATATATGTATGAATTCTAG